CTGCTAGCCAAGGGGAAGAAGAAGAAGACGCTCCGTTCAATTCATTCTGCCAATTTGCAGCAAAGGCGAGTCACCACCACCTCCACCACCACCACTCGACAGCTCGAGTCCTCGCTCAGCGCATTCAACCGTCCAGCAGCAACCATGAAAGTCTTGGTTTCCTCGATCTTTAGTCTTTCTGCGGCCTTGCCAGCATCAGCTGGTACCCCCAAGTACGACGAGGACCTCGGCTGCTGGCCAATCAGCGTCGAGCGTGACGCCACCTACTGCATCGACGGGCCCGTCTGCAGCGGGGGCGAGGCTCGTCGCCTGCCGGATCCTCGTGCCCTGTCAAAGGTGATGTGGCGATCGCCGACTGTGACTCGAATGTCACTCGCGACAGTGTCGGCGACTACTGCGAGCTGTCAGTCGACACCGTCTGTGAGGTCATTCACACGGGGGCCTGGGGATGCGTCATCCCAACAAACGACCACGCCGACTCTTATGAGAGAGAGAGAGAGTTTCAGAGTGTCTATTTACTTAGCTTAAACTACGTGCAAGATCTCTGGTATGAACTAAGCCAGGACGTAAGCGCCGGGGTACCCGGGGGCTCTTCGTCGCTGGTGCCAGTGACCACTGGCAACCCTCTTGGTTCGGTTTCCAATAACTCGATGCATGCATAAAGCACTGCCCCGGTAATTGCTGTTGCTACTTTTCGATGCCGCCTCTGCGCTATAGCTCGAAGCTGGCGGATGCACGAGGCCCAGAAATTTTCGGTACCCCTAGTAATATCGATAGACTCTGCTCGGAAGACCGCCGCATTCCGGTCTGTCCATATCCTTGTCTGACACATCGTCGCCAGGATGTGCCACATTTCTTTCCATACGCGGATGGCCGCAGCTACGTCGTCTTGAAATCGGTCGTTTAAGATTTTCATCCGGTGTGACTGTATCGTGTGGGCCTGGCGACTTGCGCAGGCGACCAAGAATTGTTGGGTCCGCTCGCGGGACGCGCGTTCCCCGGTCCAGTGCTCAATCAGTTTAATCCATAGGGCAGTTGCGCTGTTGCACTCCCAAAAGACATGCATGATCGTCTCTTGACATCCGTGACAGGCTGGTGCCTTCCGGCAACTATTGTCCACAGGACGCGCCGCATGGTACAGGTTGAGCTGGCGCGTCGCGACCCGATACCCTGTCCAGACTTGATATGGAGAGAGTCCGTGACAATGATCCCACACTTGCCGCGGAGATTGCCTGAGAGCGGCACTCTGCCACTTGTCGATGAGAGCCCTGTCGTCGAGACGTGAGATAAAATCCTTCAGGGGCGGGCAAATACTTTCTTGTGAAGCTGGAAAGCCTGGCGACCGAGTTCCTGAACGATGTGAATGTTGGACGTTTTGTCCAGAACGGACCAAGGAAAATGGTGAAGCTGCGGGTTCGCTTCAACAACGAGCCCTCCTGTCAAGAGCTCGCGGGTAAGCGCCTGTCGAGCGATGTCGGACTCGTCAATTAACTCCGGCACCGATCCCTGAAAAAACCATCGCAGCCCGTCACTGGCTTGGTGTAGAGTGAAAGACGTGGGTGGGCTCCTCGAACTGGACGATGGCCGACCTGCAATGCTGCCAGCGCTGTTCAGCCTCCAGTCAAAGCTGACCGAGAACGGAGGCTCGTGTCGGGGTCGGAGTGCTGGTGGCGTGTTTAGAGCCTCTCCAATTTGTAATTAGGGTGAGGATAAGAGCAAGGCTGTCGCCCACCGCCTTAATTTGGCTCCTGAGTGAGGGCCTGGGTGGTGTAGCGGCAGAGGCACAGTCATCACAAATTCTGCCGGACCTGTGCGCACTATGTTAAGCACTTCCAGAGAGCATACTGCTATCCGATCGTACTTTCTGCGTGTCAGCAGATTACCGCTCATATCCCGGATCCAGGGGTTTGCACTCCAATTAAAGGTGTGCCAAAACCGCTGAATTTCTAGTGGAAAGTCATCGGCCCCCCACCGGCCGCCGAGGAAAGGCTTGATAATACGACAATACGTAATCCTCCCCTTCCCACCAGCTGGCGGCCCGTTCAAGCAGAGCCGGCGATTGACTGGCGATCCACGACTTCAGGCTGTCAAGTTGTGCTGGTGTAGGTGCGAGCCATTCTCCAAGCTCCTGCGTCAGTGCCTGGTACTTAGAGCGGCTACATCGTGACTCCGCCCTCCTAGTAGCCGTAGCTGGTGAAATTTTCTTCGCAGTACCCGGAGGCTCTCCCCAAAAAGCCCATACTCGCCATGCGTCAAAATACTTGTCCTGGCGCTGCGTTAGCCAACTAATCGCATGCTTCGTCCGTTGAGTCTTGACAGCTACCGAGACATCGATAAGCTTAATCCCCCAGCCTGTTTGGGCGTCACTAGCAGGCCTGGGTTGACCTTGTGGCGGCTATTGTCGGTCACAGTCGCGTGCTCCCATAGAAAGTTCTTGTATGAATTATGCACCTCTTTTTCCGCCCATCGAGGGACGTAGAAGACGGACGCCGTAAATAGCAAGGAGGGGAGAACAATGGAGTTCAGGATGAGTACCCTGTTCTCAACGCTTGTCGCCACCCGCGTCACAGTGAGGAGGCGGCGCTGAATTGTCCGGATCCGATGAGCCCAATTTTTGTTGTCCAGAGGCCCGGTCCCGATCTCGTACCCAAGGTACCTGGTAGTGGCGCCGGAGGGCACGATGTCTATACCGGCAAAGCTCGCTCTGGAGATGGCCCGGTTCAAAAAAAAGAAGCTTGCTCTTTGCCGGTTGCACATGAAGGCCTGACAGATTCCCAAACGCTTGAATAATTCCGAGAGCATGGAGGATTTGTTTTGCCGTGTCCAAAAGAGCGTTGAGTCATCGACGAACGCCGAAAAGAGATGAGTCCGGTCGACAGTCCCAGGCACTGGCAATCCTTTGAGTGACGGGTCTTGCTTGAGGGCGAGCCCTAATACCTCTACTACGAGTAAAAGAGGAGAGGCGCAAGCGGGCAGCCTTGCCGGATTCCGGAACGCACCGGGAGCGCGGAGGATTGACCTCCATTAACGACAAAAGTTGCAGTCGTGCCCGTGTGGATCCGACAGATGAGGTCAATAAAGCTTTCTGTAAAACCAAATAGACGCATGGACTCGTATAAGAAATCTCGGTCCACAGTATCGTAGGCCTTCCGAAAGTCGAGTAATAAGATACAGCGACTGTCTTCCGCCGTCAAGTCGATCTGCTCCGTCGCCGTCGTTAGTTGGGCCATCATCATCATCACCGTCTTGGTCATACGGCGCCCGTGAACAAAACCTTGTTGGGAGTCACTAATGATACGCGGTAAACACACCTACACCCTCGTAGCTAGCACCTTGGCAAAAACCTTGTACCCGGTTTGTAATAAAGAGATCGGTCAATAATCCATGGCGTCATCGGAGTCACCTTTCTTCATAAGCGGAATAATTGAAGCCGACAGAAATGAAGGGGGTAGGTCGGCCCCCGCTAGAATTTGGTTGCCGATAGCTACAAGCGCCGGCACCATCAGCGCTGCTGTATCTTTGTAAAAATCATTATTGAGACCATCGGGACCCGCCGCTTTATACCGACTCAGCCCTCGGACGGCTGAAAGCACCTCGTCCTACGTTATCGGTAGCAGCAGGCGTTCATTATCGAGTGGAGTGAGCACTTGCACATGTGGGATCGTCGCGAAATCACGGATCGCCGCGGGCAACGAGTCCAGTGGCTCCTTGCGATGGCTGGCGCTTAACACGGACTCCCACTCCGACGCAAATCTATCTGCCAGGGACATATGTCGTGTGAATGCGTGCCCATAGCGTGCTGTCAACGAGGAGACACGTTGGTCCCGTTCCCAATTGGCTACCCGCTTGTAAGACCACCGAAGACGCTCGGTAGATCTCTCTAACTGCTCGCCGAGACGCACTAAATGATCCTCCCGCATTTCCTCCACATTGGCCGCTATCCAATGACGCCTGGTGAAAAACAGCCGCCTCCCTCGCTGTCGTATTTTCGAGATAAAGCGCCGTAGCCGCTGCTTTTCCCGTTTATTTACCACGGTTAAACAGCGGACGCACCGGTTCACGGTAGTGTCCCAAGACTGTACTGTAGGCGCGTGACCCACCCGCGAGGCTTCCATTTCTCGTAATAGATCTCTTAAGACCCGGTCCTGTTGATTTGACTCGATAGGATACACAACACGCGCTCTGGCGGAGGTTGTGGGTTTGGATTGACGGAGCCGTAAATGAAGAACGACCTGTTGGTGATCAGAGTAGACAGAGGGAGGAGTGGCGGACCGTCATAGAACTGTCGATGCCCAGTATTCGGATACGTAGATTCGGTCGATCCGGATGGCTGTTTCGGCAGTCCAGTATGTGTAGTGATCAGTCAAATCCTCTTCCTCTTCGTCTGCATGATACCTCATAAGACGAGCATCACTCAGCCTAGACGTCTCGAGTAACTTTTCCAGCGCAGGACTTTCCGTCCTACTAGCAATTCGAGAACCTAGTCGATCCAGTTGAGGACTCTGCACGCAATTAAAATCCCCTAGCAAGGCTGTTCTCCCCAGCGGCAAGTTCCACCCGTGAAGACTCGTGAAAAAGCCTCGCACTCTCCCCCTGAGATTGGGGGCGTAAACATTTAAGATACATAAGTCCTGCACTGTAATCCCAATAGCGCTAGAATGCCATTTGTCTTCATTCCACGCAACGGCCCCCGTAGCGGCTGTCGGAGTGAGTAAAATGGCCACACCACTGGTCTTAGAGGACCCTACCGTCCAAAAGGACATGGGCGCCTGACCGGAGTCGCGATGCTTTCCCCGCAACCGGCGCCATTCCTGCCGCAGGTCCGCTGCTTCCTCGGCGCTCGTGACATGAGTTTCCTGTATGCACCAAGCTAGAGGCCTAGAGCTCACTGGAGTCCGACGCCAGGCCGTCATCCATTGGATCCGTTTGGCCTGTGTGAAGCCGAGGACATTTTGGGTCAGAAGCCTCTGATTCGCCGTCCTCTGACTTGTGTGGCGAGAAGTGGATCCCAGGATGGTATGAAGCAATGCGCTGCGACCGTATGCGTCCGCGCTCGAGAGCGTCGCATCCGTAGACAGTGACGTGAGGAGTACCCGTGGAGTGCCCTTAGTACTGGAGGAGATATGTCTCCGCAGGACGGGTGAGCCCTGAGTAGAAAAACCGCTCAATCGCCGCCCAGTCAGCCACGCTGGCGGACGAGTAATACGCCTTCCTGTACAAAGCATTCGTGCTCAGTAGGTGGATATGTGATCGGAGCTTCTCGGACACGCGCGTATCCGCTGGAACCCCTTCCACGAGCGCTGCTATCTCTCGATCGTACACTAGCGCACACACTAAGTGTTGGCTCAGCTTCGCTTTCCGCTGGGGATCGCAAAATTTTAGCAAATCATCCCCCGCATAATCTTATTCCCTCAACCGGCCCCAATCATCGGAACTGTCCATAAGCGGCGCCAAAACGACGGAATCGGTGCGGTGCTGCGAGTTTCGGATCCATTGGTCGAGCCACTGTGTCGTGTGCTGACTGACAGGTTGCTCGCGATACCGCCGCTGTAACGGGGCACCCTGAAGCTTGTACTGGTGACAGTACAAGCTACTTATTCTGATGACAGAAAAAGGCGGTGCCTCGTAACTTCACGTACACTCGTACGTGCAGAGGAAGACGGTAAGAAGAAGCGAGTACTTTGTTAGAGTAAAAAGTAGAACTGTATTTAGTATAGTTAATGTCTGCAATAAATCACTATTTATCTTCATCTAACTATGTCTAAATACAAATGTGTAAATCAAATATCTGCTCACCACTCATTGCGTGCGTCTGTCGTGGCGCGTCTTCGTTGGTTGATATAATGGCCTATATCAACCAATTAGGAACTACTCGTAAGTGCTACAGAATATTTGTCCTTATGACAATATTCTGAGAATATAACTCTTATAGTTATATTCTATTAACAATTTCTTATAAATTGTTATGTAACGATTCACCCCGTTACATCACCCCCTTAACCATCAGTCACTTTAGTGACTGATTGACTAAATGGATACTCGTCCCAAATCATTTGGGACAGGGTTTGCACTTGTTGGTCCGCGTCCACTTTCCAACATCTCATCGCATGGTTAACAAGCCCATGCGATGCGCGAGCAAGGCCGCCGAGAGCGCGTCTGCACGTCTCTGTGCGGACGCCGAAGCAGAAACAACAGCAACTGATGTCTCATCGGTTGCTGAAGCGACTCAGCCTGTGTCACTTGGTGATGCAGGCGCTGGTCATGAAGACACTCGTGTCTTCACAGAGTACGAGCTCGGTGTCTCGTACTCTCCTGATACGGATGACGGATCCGTATCGACGGCGATTGAATCTAAGCCGCCTGCCAAGCGTGGCATGGACGATGCTTTGCGTCGCAGCATCTTTGGTTCATCTGATGAATCAGATGAACCATCGCCGAAGCGAAGGCGCTCGAGGTCGCGAGACTCGGGCGCTAATAGTGGTGTCGGTTCTCCAATGGACACCACTTCACAGCGAGGTGCCAGTACTTCTGTCGGCACGTCGCAGGAAGAGCGGGACCGCAATGTGTTGCGTCTCGCTCCAGAAAAGAAGGCATGGATGCCTCCAAAATTCGTCATGGATCACTTGTCGGCGACGACGAGTGATCGTTGTCGAACACGATTGTTCGATTCGTCAAGGATCCATCACCTTGACCCCAGCGCGAAAAACTATCGCGCTGAAAACGAGTTCTTCATCGATGCTTTCTATAGACATCGATGGTACAGTGGGAATCACAAACGTGATGGTCCCTCACTACTTCAGGAGCGGAACGCCTACATCATCCATAACCTTGAGGATGTAGGTCGTGACGCTTGGAACGACAAACTTATCAAAGCTCGTGATAAGTTTGAAAAGCGAACCCCGACAGGTGCACGCTACAAGCTGCATCGTCTGTCAAGGGAGAAAGGATTACCCTGCCTCTCTTGGGGAGACTCGTGCCCATGTTGTGTGAACAACTCTGCACGAGCACCTAAGGAGGCTTACCTCCCTACCAGCCCGTGGTGGCGCGTACGTATCTCTACTGAGATGTACGAAGGGATTGACAACCTGAAATCCCTTTACGACCGTGCCGGGAAGACTTTCTCCGGCGGTCCTTCTGCGGCACAGGATGTGCCGCGTCGTACTGCTCAACCAGATCCAGTACGTCGATCATCAATTGGGAGCGGGGCTCCCAAGAATCCCAGGACGGGGGATAGCCGCGCCACCGGACGAGATAACTCGTCCGACGCCCGTTCACGTCGCGGTGGTTCAACAGCTGCTCAACTAGATAGCGCTGGCCACCGCGAGAGTCCTCTAATGGAGGTGGAGGAGGAGGAAAGACGCTCTCCACACGATCATGTGGATCGGTATGTTCCCGAGAGCTTCTTTGATCGCGTAACGCAAGGGTTACGCGACGATCTCGAACATGAGCGGAATAGGCGTCTCCAAATGGCGGACACTGCCTTGAAGCATCGAGCTGAGTTTGCCTTTGCTCAGCTTGAGAACGAGAGATCTCTGACATCTCTTCGTGACGAGCTAAGGGTAGCTCGTGGGATTGCTGATCGGTCTCGGGATGAGATAGCTGCTCTTCAGACCCTTGTTGATGCCCACCATCGGGAGCACAAGGCTCTCTGCGAGATGCTTGAGCGCAAGGGCGTTCTTCATCGGAAGAAGCAGCACACTGAAGGTACGGCTTAAGCCGAACAACGTAAAACGTGGGATGCGTTCGCATCTTACGTGGTAACTCGATCGTGTATGCATTGCCTAGGCGGTGCAATACACGAAATGGGGCAATGTACTTGGGTAGTAGTTTACTGTACCCAAGTTAGTCACTACATGCTTTGGTAGATTAACCGTAGACAGTAGGACTAAGTCACATTTATTAAATAAAAGAGTGTTTGCCCTTCCATTCTTATCAGCGTTTTGCTTTTGCTTATCCACCGCTTCGGCGATGGAGTCTTGCACAAAACGGACTACCGTTTCACGAGCCAGTACGAACTCATCTGATGACTCGTTAGCTTCAGTGCACTGTGAGCGCACTGCAGCAACATCAACCTTTTCTTCAGTGAGGGCTTCCGCACTCTCACTGGCATCATATTCTTCTTCGATATCGATGTTATCGATATCGGCATCAAACGCAATGACTTCTTCGTCAGAGCGTGATGAGCGTGAACCAAATCGGTTTTTGCTCGCGCGAGTCCCTACCCCCCTTAAACCAGAGTTACACTCTAGTAAGGTGGGTACACGCGGATGGCGCAAGCCATTCACGTAAAACGGTGTATGTGTCGTGGACGCATGCACCGAGTTGTTGATGGCAAACTCTACCATTGGCAAAAACTCACTCCAACTCTTAAAGGAGTGTACGTATCCTCGAAGTATCTCTTCAAGGACACGATTGGCACGTTCCGTCTGACCATCTGACTCTGGATGATCAGATGTTGACATCTTCAAGCGCGTTCCGAGTGATTTGAACACGGAACGCCAGAAATCAGCAGTGAATCGTGGATCTCTGTCTGATACGAGTTCACGGGGCAACCCATGAAGTCGGAAGATGGTGTCAATAAAGACACAAGCACAGCCACTTGCCGTGATTGTCTCTGGTACAGCCACAAGGTGTACCATTTTGCTGAATCTGTCAACAAATACGAGAATACCCGTATTCCCGCGTGCGTCTTTGGGTAACCCGAAGACGAAATCCATTGAGATGGATTCCCAGCACTCAGCCGGAACCGGTAGAGGCTGTAATGGTGCACGCAGTGAAGGACTTGACTTCACTCGTTGGCAGACTTCGCATGCGCGAACATACTTTCGCACAATCTGATACTGGCGGGGCCAGTAAAAGTCTCGACTTACCGTGAGATATGTTTTCTCTCGGCCACGATGTCCTCCTATAGGAGCATCGTGATACTCGAACATGATCCGCAAACGCAGATCAGTATCATCTGGAATGACAACACGTGGTGTGTCACCAGAAACGGCTGTATAATACAGTAAACCGTTACGAGTAGTGTATCGATCTGATGCAGATCGATACGCAGACGACAATCGTTTCAACGATTCTCGAGATGGTTGGGAGAGATGTGTCAACAACTTCACTATCTCACCATCTTGGGCGTATGCCCGCCTCACATCATCATACAACGTTGTAGATGGGACTGAGGACGTCATAACCGCAACAGTGACTGTCTCACTGTTGGGTTTCGCGACTGTTTCAAAGTCGGGACGACGTGAGAGTGCATCAGCGACGACATTAAGTCGTCCTGGTTTGTACTCGACCGTAAAGTTGTATTCCGCAAAGAATGAGAACCACCGCGCCATTCGTTGTGAAAGGTGCGGGCTGTTCACTGCCGTGCGTAACGACGCATGGTCAGTGTAAACAACGAAGGGTCTATCTCCTAATAGATAGACTCTGAACTTCGCGAGTGCATACTTCATGGCAAGGAGTTCCTTGTCATGCACTGGATAGTTCCGCTCAGCTGGTTGCAGCTGACGCGACTGATAGCAGACGACGCGTTCAACGCCTTCAAGATCGTACTGCATTAATGCACAGCCGATTGCGAAATCGCTGGCATCACAGACCACATGAAATGGCCTGTCCTGATCGGCTATTGCTAGGACTGGGGATTGTATCAAGCTCTGCTTGATACCCTCAAAGGAGCGCTGACATTCAGCGTTCCATAACCACCTCTCGTTCTTTTTCAACAAAGGAGAGAGGTGCACAGTCATCTCGGCGTAATTGCGTGAATACTTGTGCAAATACGCCGCTAGCCCAAGGAATTTTCGAAGACCTTTGACATCAACCGGCACAGGCCAGTCGGTGATCGCCTTGATCTTTTCGGGATCAGGACGTACACCGTTCTTACCAACGATGCACCCAAGAAGTGGTATTTCGCTTGCTGCAAAAATACACTTCTTGAGATTAGCATACAATTGATGCTTTCGCATGATTGTAAGAACCTGTCGGACGTGGTACCTGTGAACCTCAACGTCCGACTTTCTCTCCATAGCTCGACTATGGATGAATATGTCATCGAAATAACTCGGCGCGAATTCTCGTACTGGTCTCAACATATGCGATACACATCTGTTGAATGTGGCAGGGGCATTACTAAGCCCTTGTGGCATTACTAGCCATTCCCAGAGCATGCCGCTAGGCGTGCTAACTGCGGTATAGGGTATATCCCGTTCCCGCATAAGGATTTGATAGAAGCCATCCATCAAATCCATGGACGAAAAGATGGTACTCTTTGACATACCATCAATGATTACGTCCTTCCTTGGTATCGGCGTCTGAGCCGGTACCGTTGCAGCGTTCAATTTGTTGAACGCGTGCACTATCCGCCACCCTCCTGTTGCTTTTCGCACACAGAAGGTCGGAGAGCTATGTGGGGAAGTTGATTCCCTCACATGGCCCGCAGCTAAACGATCGGCAAAGAACTTGTCGATCGCAAGTACTTGTTCACGAGGCAGTGGCCACTGCTTCATGACACAGTACTTCGAGCCTGGTTTAAGCTCGACCTCGTGTCGAATACCTTTATCCTTCGGTAATTCGCACGGAACAGTTTCAGGGAATACATCCTTGAATTCAACCAAATCTTCATAGAGAGGATTTTCCTTGAGCGATTCCCACGATTGGGAGTCATATCGCTCGATTCGTGTCTTTTCATCTAGGACACTTTCGTCCATAGATGAACTACTGAGAACTCTCTCGTTCTCAGTGAACACTGTTGCTGACCTTATGTCGGTTACACACTCGTCGTCAGCGACGAGTATGCAGATCTGCTTGACTTTGCCACTACGCAGATCACGCAAGAACCTTTTATGTTCGAGCGTTGGCAACTGAGTGATCTCCGAAGTCAACTTCGGAGGCGCAATCAGATCAAGTGTATAAGCGCCTACACTTGATCCGTTATTGACTATGACATTCAATGTCTCTGTCAGTTCCTGGGGACTTATTCCCTCAGGCTTCGAAGGACTTATTCCTTCGGCTTCCCGAGGACTTATTCCCGCGGGTTTCGGGGAACTTATTTCCGCCGTATTTGTAATCTTGGGACTTATTCCCTTTACTTCCTCTAGCTGGGGTTGCGCAACCACAGCGAGATCCTCTACGAAAGACTCTCCAGTCGATCTAGGATTATCGTTTCGCTTAACCTGAGCGATCGATTGTTTCTCTTCTAGATGTTCCCCGCTAGGGATACATCTTTGTCCCAGTCCACCCGACTTATTCGAGTGGTGGACCTTCGGCGCAGCCTGTGTTTCCTCACAGCCGCCGGAACTTTGCTCCGAAGTGCAACTGTTTGTTACACTAAGGTTTTGTGCAGTCGTACTAACGACCGTACCACAAGTGAGGCCATCGCACTCACTCGTAGTACATCCACACGCTTGTGGACGCTCCAAAACGTTCATCAGATGGCCATCTGATGAACAAGCGGCAGGCATCGTTACTGTTCGATGTTGCCAGTTTACCCGTGGTTCGTACCTTCTGAGCCACGGTATTCCAAGGATGACATCAAATTTGTCATCCAAATCCAATACGATAAAGTCATCGTCATATTGGGTATCTTCTAGCGTATAGTGGATCTTCACTATACGCTTCATGACGGTTACGGATGCGCCTGTCGCAAGACGTACCGTCATCCTCGTAGGAGGTGTGTCACATTCACTGAATTTAAAGTGACCATCTTCTAGCGATTGGCGTCGCACAAAATTGTTGGACGCCCCACAATCGACTAGAGCTCGAAGGGACAACTTATTCGTCACTTCGAGTTTCAAGGTAATGAGTGATACCTCATTACCTAGAGCAGCAACGCACAACGTTTGTGTGTTGGGAGCAACCTTCATCAAGAGGCCTACAAATTCTCTTGACGTTGCTGGATCAGTAGGGTGCTCCGCACCTACTGATCCTGTCCGTTTTTTGACGGTCCATCCCGTTGTTGCGTCTTTGCACCAACTGCGGACCCGCGTCCCTGCCCCTTTCTCATGGGTGGACGGTCACTACGCCCAGTGTCGCGAGACACTGGACGAGAGGCACTACACTCGTAAGCGTAGTGTTCTGTCTTTTGACATCTGTTGCATCTCTGCAACTTCTTGTAGCCTGTAGAGCGAGCCTTCTCGCTCTCTACATCACAAAGTTCCATCGACTCTGGACCTCCGTTGTCATATCGTCTCGGTTGACGATATGATGTCGAGCTGGCGCGAGCCTGTCTCAGACTGAAGTCTTCCTGCTCCGCAATGGAAATGGCTTGTTCTAGTGAATCTAGTTCAATCCGGAACAGGTGAGTCTTGACGGGACCATCCGCAAGACCCTGCATGAACACCGAAACCAACGTGTGTTCATCCACCGGATTGGAACTTATACAACTCGTGAGATGTCGTATATGTTGCGCGTAAGCGTGCACATCACGCTTACCCTGCTTGAGCTTCAAGAGTTCGGTTCGAGCTCTGAACTCAGCTCTAGGCGGTTCAAACGTTTGTCTGAGCCGCGACTTGAAGACTTCCAACGACCCAAACGCATATGGGTCGTGCAACTTGAGCCCCAGTGCCCAAGTCTTGGCACGTCCTACCAGATTTGACTGGGCAAATGCAACTTGCATATCCCCGTCGTCGATGCGACGCGCCCTTATGGCGTCATCCAATTCGACGAACCATCTCAAGAGGGAGTCTTCTTCGACCCCCTATACTTGGAGATGTCAATCTTCAAGGTTTCGGGTCGACGCGAGTGCATCGACCCACCAGCAGCAGCCTGCTGCTGTCTCAACAGTTCAAACTGTTGAGCACCCTGTTCTCTCAACAACTCTGCTTGTTGAGAACCTTGTTGGTGAAGCAAGGCTACTTTCTTGCGTTCTGCGTCAAGTTCATTTTGAATGAACTTGGCGATAGTAGCATGTTGGGCATCTCTATTGAGAGCCTCTAGCATGACGCTAACAGCATGGATGCCCATGGTCGAACCCATTCGTTCAACCGCATCCCATTCGACATCGCTCAAATGGGAGTAGCCGTCACGCGTAGCGTGAAAGCTTTGGTCATCTTCATCATCCAACATATTCATATTGGATGTGAACGCGGTCCTTGGACGGACTACGAAGTGCTACCAGGTGTAACGGGGCACCCTGAAGCTTGTACTGGTGACAGTACAAGCTACTTATTCTGATGACAGAATAAGGCGGTGCCTCGTAACTTCACGTACACTGGTACGTGCAGAGGAAGACGGTAAGAAGAAGCGAGTACTTTGTTAGAGTAAAAAGTAGAACTGTATTTAGTATAGTTAATGTCTGCAATAAATCACTATTTATCTTCATCTAACTATGTCTAAATACAAATGTGTAAATCAAATATCTGCTCACCACTCATTGCGTGCGTCTGTCGTGGCGCGTCTTCGTTGGTTGATATAATGGCCTATATCAACCAATTAGGAACTACTTGTAAGTGCTACAGAATATTTGTCCTTATGACAATATTCTGAGAATATAACTCTTATAGTTATATTCTATTAACAATTTCTTATAAATTGTTATGTAACGATTCACCCCGTTACAGCCGCAGTTCATCTACCAAACAGCCGTGCCGGTTCTCCGCCATCCAATGGACTAAAACAGACGGGTCCAGGATCTGAAGAAGCTCACCAGGAAATGTGAACCTCTTGACTAGCCAGAGTAAGTGATCGGGCACATGACCAGCGACCCTCTGCCATTCTAACGTCGAGCTGCTGGCGAGAGGAAATGGAATCTGTTTCGGGTTTGGCCACATCGATTCCATAAGCTCCCACGCTGCTGCCCAGTCCGTTCGGTCGACGCGCTCGTTTGCCTCATCGCCTGGGGGAGCTGAGGCCCTGGGTCTCGCCTTCTCTCTTAGCTACCGCTTCCTTGGCGCGCTGCGACCTGTCCGTCCCATCTGATATCTGCAAAATTTGAGACGCCACAAGCGCCCTTTTACGATCAGTGGGGGGAGGGGGTCGCATCCTTGCTGGAGGCGCTGAGGGAATCGTAGAACAGCTAACCTGCCGCTCCACCAGTGCTCGCGCGTTGCAATCGTCCGGTCTATGTCTACTCAGGACCTCCGTTGACGCGTCGATAAAGTCATCCCGTAAGACTAGTATCCCTGCTAGCTGTCCAGACGTCTCGGGTACAGGCGCCGTCGCCTCCTGAGTAACCGGACACACCGACGTACCAGCAGCCGTCTGCTCAAGTGATGTTGTCTCCGCCACCAAGTCGGGCAACAGACTGGAACTCCCAGAGTGATTAATAGCGGAATAGTGGCAATTCTGGTAGCGCAATACGAGAGGAGGGAGCCCGGGTGCCTCAATTTTTGCCGCTAATACTGCATCCATGAGGTCCATAATTCCCAGCGGACATTCCGCCGCCGTCACGACCCTCCGCCGATGGCGGGTGATCGTGGTGGGTACAAATTTACGGCAGCGCCACGGTGGGTCTGGCCAGTAAGAAACTCGATAACATAGATTGACTGTTGTAGAAAATTGGCCGCCATGCCGACCATATCGCAGCCCCCCCATGTGTCCGAACCAACCAGAGCCGTTCGGGCGGACGGGCTGGTAGCATAGTCTTCGAGGTACCATCGTATCTGCGAAGCTGATTCCTTGTGAGTCATCGTAGGCCAACCTCTGCTGACGCTAGCCAGCATCAGCATGAACTCTATGATCGTGAGCATACTGATCCTCCAGATCCAGCAAGCCCGACAATTTAATCCCCCGTTTAAGGCAAGCTGTCAGTAGCTCCAGATGCCTGTCTGGACCGTCCAGGGACGCGTCCGTTGCCGCTTGGGCAATAGCCATGGCAAGACAATTAGTAGTAGCCGGTGTGATTACCGGGTAAATCACAAGTTGGGACGTTAACTCCGCTACGTCCGTCGGGACGTCTGTTGCTCGTGCTCGTACTGTCGTCAGAGCCTTGGGCAGCCGACCCAAATCCGCGACCAATTGTCGAAAGGATCCTCTCTCGTTGCGCTTGAGAGTCATCAGCACTGGACCCGTCGTACTCGGAGCCGACCCACGTCCAGCCCCCCCGTTGCTTCCGGGCCTTCTCGGAAGACGTAAGAAGCGAGTGCGTACCGGCCCCGTCAGATAAGCCCACCGTTGGATTAAGTGCCCCGGCTGACCGTGAATGAAGCACCCTGATCTCTTCCGACGCATCCGAACTAGTTTTTGTCTCCTCGGCCCAGTCCTCGCCATCCTCGCCTATAAGCTCCTGCCCTCCTGTCCGCACCTGTGAGGCCACCGCTTTTACCTGGCCCGTGGCCGCTTTAGACGAACCTCTCGATCGTCCCTTTTTGGACTGCTTGGTGATCCACGGCTGTGGTGCTGCTGGACGCGGATCTGGTTGCATGTGAGCAAACTTCTCCCCTTGTTCCGCTTGTGGAGCACTACTGGGGCTCGTAACCTCAGGAAGTGAAATAGCGGCTTGCGTCCCTGATATTTGTCCTCGCGCGGGTGGCGAAACCGCTGCTTGAGCTAACTCCTCCGCTGCTTCTTGGAGCGCTAGGCGCCGCCCTGCCATCTCTTTAATTTCCTCGAAGCTGAGAAATGGTCTCGCAAGATCCTCGAGACCCTTGACGTCCTCCTCCATTACGACTACGCCCCCTGGCCCGCGCAACTGAAGGTCGGTGAATGTACACCGCGCCAGCGTGTGGCCGAGGTTGCCACATTGAAGACACTGCAGCCGCCTGCCGACATTCGGAGGCTTAACAATTATGGTCGTCCCGAACCATAACAACCGAACAATACCGTCGAGGAAAGTCGGACAGCCCGCTAGTTTGAAGGTTACCCTCCATATTGTCGATGTCCTGGAATCGGGGGTATGCGTGTCCAGGTCCTCCATCACGAATTCCGTCAAAATCTTCTCCTTCAAAAAAGCTGCAATCCGGCCTATGTCGACAAACCGAGTTACATTGAGAAGCAGAATCGTGTATTCCACTCGCCGGCCTTGTGGTTGTCCATTAAGCCCCCGCTGTCGGTCCCATATCGGGCCGGCCGCTGCTCGGTGGGCATTCAGGAGCCGGTATACTCCTCCCGAAAAAGGCACCCGCACCTCCTTGTGCTCGGCAGTTTCTCTGGTAAAGAAATAGAAGTGAATCGACTTCGTTACTTGATCGTAGCTGATCGTCTTCGTCTGGCCTAGCATGTTGTGTAGCGCAGGTAAGTTTACTCGCGCCAGCTCCGCCGATTCCAGGATCCGCTCGGTGATAGCTTTCGTACTCTGTCGGGTAACCCGGACACCCCCAGAGCGCCCCAATTGCATAATCAATTCGCCTTCTACCTGAGCCTGAATCGTAGAAACCAGTCTGAGGCATTCCTCACTTCGGAGGATGTGCGGAAGAAAAGCCGGCATGTTGCGGCATGCTATGGTGCCCTCGATTAAACCCAAGACAATCTTCCATTCATCGTCTGTTCCCTTACGGACTTGGTGTTGTCCTGCCGGGGCCTGCGGCGACGCACATACAGCTCGGAGCCGCGCGATCTCCACCCCGGAAAACTTAGCGGGATTAAACATGAATTCCTCATATTTCGCTTTTCGTGGCGGCGGTGGAGCCGCTGATGGAGTCAGGCCTGTGCGAACAACAGCCGCCCATTGATGGAGCACTGGCGCGTGCGCCCACTTATGCTGGCTCGCAAGTCTGCGTACTATCTCTCGGAAAGCCCACTTAGTGGTAAAAAGCTCCCGCGTAATGGTCGACGCTAGTTTTTTCATTCCTCAAAGCGTCCCGTGGTGTTGACAAACGCTTGTTCAAAAAAGCCTAGTAGACTGGACGCTTCGGCTTCACTCAAAGTCGGGAAACGTTTTCTATCCGCCGGCAGCTCCTCGGAAAGAACTGGGACTGTCGCGTAGGCCTCCGCGAAAAGCTGCCTGATCGTTTGGATCCAGGCCTCGACGTGTCCGACATTCGGTGATTCCTTCATGTCCCCAACCAAAGCAGAAAACATGGCCTCTGACGAAACCCGCCGGATGGGGGCCTGTCGCGGAGGAGGGGAGGGCGACTGGCCGTCCGTGGGGTCGGGCTCAGGAGCTGCCGGTGGCGCTGTCCCGTTGGACCTGTCACTGCCGTCCTGAGAGTTTACTCCTTTAACCGCCGAAGCGCTAGGCTCGCGTTGAAGGGGAAAAGCCGACCCAAGTGGACCGGCTGTGCTAAGGCATCCAATCGGCATGCCTTCGTCACCGAGCATGGGGTGGTCGTCATCAGCCGTCGGTCCCTGTGAATCCTCCTGGATGGCCCCTGGAAGCGGTGGTAAGGCCGATATGCTGGCGCCCGGCCTTGCCGCTTCCACCGGCTGAGTCATTCGACTCTCGTCGCTATCCGTCGACGCGCAGACTGTACCTGGACGAGGCACAGTAGGCTTCTCGGGTAGGGTAGATGCCCCTCCCGGGACATCCCCACCTCCCGGGGGGAGATCTAGGGGCTGCATAGCGCCTGGACGCCGCTCGCTGTGAGCCAATAAAAACGGGTTTAAACTCCTCTGTGATCCGATAAGATCACTGCGTCGCAAATAGAAGAGTGACGCCGACTCTTATGAACACAACCGTCCGCACCACCGTAACTCGCATCACCGTAACTCGCATCACCGTAACTCGCACCGCGGTGCCCATCACCACCGTAACTCCCACTACGGTAACTCCAAAGACCGACACTCCCACCATGGCGATGACTCCCACTACGGTAGTCAGAACGAAGATTCGTCCTACTATAACAGCGACAGTGGTAGCTACATCCGCGGCAGCTACGAAGGTGATGACGACCACAGCAACGGCCACCACATGAGCGATCGACAAAACAGCGACAGCTATGGAGAGGGTAAGTACAACAGCGGGGACCACATGAGCGACCACCACCACAACAGCAACAACCACAACAGCAACAGCTACGGAGAGAACGAGTCCGCCAATCACGACGGCAAGAATGACAACACCAACGATGACAAGAACAACAACGACAACAAGAACGACGACGACGACAAGAACAACAACAGCGACAGATACGAAGGTGGCCGCCGCACCAGCGATTACCACAAGAGCGGTGGCTATGGAGAGGGCAAGTACAACGGCGACCACCACAACAGCGGTAGCTACGAGAAGTGGTAGCTACAACAACGGCACCTTTAACCAAGGCATGAACGGACACCTTTCCATCAAATTGTCTTCCAACTCATTTTCGACAAGCTTCCGACTACGAAACTGTTGGGACGCAGTAGGTCGATGAGGACAGACGCATTCGTATAGCTGTTGATAGATGACAGGGCAAGAGAGCTGTTGTCCCTGCGATCAGTTGACCAATTACTCGTTGATGACCGTATCGACTGATATCGGAAGAAGTGGCGGATCTTTCCGCCCTTCATGCAAACGTGATAGCTGCCCCCCAAACGCTATCATACGATACCGAGAACTCAAGGGTGGCACGCTTTCTACCATTAGCAAAACTGGACCAAATGTTTGGCGTTGTTGTAACGGGGCACCCTGAAGCTTGTACTGGTGACAGTACAAGCTACTTATTCTGATAACAGAATAAGGCGGTGCCTCGTAACTTCACGTACACTCGTACGTGCAGAGGAAGACGGTAAGAAGAAGCGAGTACTTGGTTAGAGTAAAAAGTAGAACTGTATTTAGTATAGTTAATGTCTGCAATAAATCACTATTTATCTTCATCTAACTATGTCTAAATACAAATGTGTAAATCAGTTATCTGCTCACCACTCATTGCGTGCGTCTGTCGTGGCGCGTCTTCGTTGGTTGATATAATGGCCTATATCAACCAATTAGGAACTACTTGGAAGTGCTACAGAATATTGTCCTTATGACAATATTCTGAGAATATAACTCTTATAGTTATATTCTATTAACAATTTCTTATAAATTGTTATGTAACGATTCACCCCGTTACATCACCCCCCCCTTAACCATCAGTCACTTTAGTGACTGATTGACTAAATGGATACTCGTCCCAAATCATTTGGGACGGGGTTTGCACTTGTTGGTCCGCGTCCACTTTCCAACATCTCATCGCATGGTAAACAAGCCCATGCGATGCGCGAGCAAGGCCGCCGAGAGCGCGTCTGCACGTCTCTGTGCGGACGCCGAAGCAGAAACTACAGCAACTGATGTCCCATCGGTTGCTGAATCGACTCAGCCTGTATCACCTGGTGATGCAGGCGCTGGTCATGAAGACACTCGTGTCTTCACAGAGTACGAGCTCGGTGTCTCGTACTCTCCTGATACGGATGACGGATCCGTATCGACGGCAATTGAATCCAAGCCGCCTGCCAAGCGTGGCATGGACGATGCTTTGCGTCGCAGCATCTTTGGTTCATCTGATGAGTCAGATGAACCATCGCCG